ATTAGGCCAAAGCCAGAGTTAAAATCCTATTAGTTTGAGTTGGGAATCGGATTATCGTCGTCGAGAATCACTCGTCTGGCAACTAGGGTCTAATTTACGCCAATCAACGGCAATTATTGAGGGGAAGGGAGCCCCTATTAGAGAGCCTCATCCACTTAGTCTAATGAATGGGGAAGATTCAATCTTGGCTGTGGAGACGCATTGGAGAGCTCCAGCTGAATGCGACTACACCAGCAGGCTAAAGAAGAGCTGCTGTTATTTATCAATGGTAGGGTGCTGTCAGAGCAAACATGCGTTAGCCATGGGGCACTAGGCTCTGGTTTCTGATGGTCTGAGGACACTCTGTCTAGTAAAGCAGTTAGTTTAGCTCTCTGTGACCCATTATGTGTATGTCATACACATAAAGATATGAACCTGTGTTTATGTCATATATTTAAGACCTGAGTGCTGGAAATTTTTACCAATTTCTCTTTATAAAGTATGACCTTCCAAGTCTATATAATAATGTTATCAAAACTAACATTGAAAATGGCAATAAATGTTTAAATTGATTTATTTACATCTTATAGATAACGGACACACTTTTGAAAGTTAAAAAAAAGCATACTGTACTATATTTTCTCAATTTTTGGGGGGGCACAATACAATTGATTTTCTCCTACCCTAACTAAATGTATGGGGTTTTTTCCCGCATTTTACCAGAGTTTGCCTTTAATTATCTGCAATGAAGCAATAATGAACAGAAACTTGTATCATCTCCTCGAGCTAGTTTAAACCTGAATCATCTGCTACTGTCTAACTAATAACTAGATATTTTTTTTCCAAAACCCAGCGGATGATAAATGATTGATGATTATCTTATCTAAAATTAAACTACAAAGTCTTTTTGGACAAGAAAGCATGATTCCTGTGTAACCTTCAGCTTGCCACATATGCTTTGTTTTTATCTCCGTTCTTACACTGCCCTCTACTGTTAAATGCTAGTTTTTACTATGAACTATGCAGATAGGCTGCTTTCAGAATCTAAACACAGAGATCTGTATTTGACACATTGTACTACATAGCATATATATATACATAGCATATATATATATATATATATATATATATATATATATATATATATAAATAAAAACACCCAGCACGCCCTGCAGGCGGTTTATCCTTCAAGCTCGGGTCCTCTACCAGAGGCCTGGGAGCTTGAGGGTCCTGCGCAGTATCTTAGCTGTTCCCAGGACTGCGCTCTTCTGGACAGAGATCTCTGATGTTATTCCCGGGATCTGCAGGAGCCACTCGCCTAGCTTGGGAGTCACCGCACCTAGTGCTCCGATTACCACGGGGACCACCGTTACCTTCACCCTCCACATCCTCTCGAGCTCTTCTCTGAGCCCTTGGTATTTCTCCAGCTTCTCGTGTTCCTTCTTCCTGATATTGCTGTCATTCGGAACCGCTACATCGATCACTACGGCCGTCTTCTCCACGAAAAAAGTGGGCTACTGGAACAAGAAGGCATCAGTGGGCAAGAGACGAAAACATATATATATATATACATATACATATATATATATATATATATATATATATATATATATATATATATATATATATATATATATATATATATATATATATATATATATATGTGTGTGTGTATGTGTGTGAGTGTGTTTAGTTTATATATATATATATATGTATATGTATATGTATATGTATATATATATATATATATATATATATATATTATATATATATATATATATGTGTGTGTGTGTGTGTGTGTCTGTGTGTATGTGTGTGTGTGTGTGTTTAGTTTATATATATATATATATATATATATAGATATGTGTGTGTGTGTGTGTATGTATGTGTGTGTGTGTGTTTAGTTTATATATATATATATATATATATATATATATATATAGTGACCTAAGACAGTCAAACAGTGTTAAAGGTCAGTTTAGAAGAACTACTGGTGATACTGATCATCGCTGCATGTGGGTGGAAGCAAAAATAAGACCAATGATGGAAGATTGATTTGCATATTCCCCCTGCATGTGCAAGTGTTTGTGGTCTACCTACAAATTACATCAGATCATGTTTGTCATGACTTCTTGCGCAATGCCCTACTGTAATCTGGTGTTTATTTATTTTTTATGTCTTTTGCAAAAGTTGAATGTAAAAAAGATAAAGACTTGATAGCAGTAGTGGTGTCCTGAAAATCTCACATAGCGGGGGAAATTCCACCACCTTTATTGGCTTTCTGTTGGGGTTTAGCTTTTCCAAACTGGTAAGAGGGTGCAGACGTGCATGAAGTTATTAATAACACCAAATATTTCCACTGTTGATGGTTTCATTTCCGATCGAAGCTGTAGTGATTTTTCCGCACTCAACAAACAGTCCCGCAATAGATACATTTACTTTTTAACCTTTTCTCCCACTATTTTTGTTTCTATCATTTACATGTTTCTCTACTGCACAAGGATAGTGCAGGGGAAACATGAAAAGCTTATGCTGTTACTATTTCCTGACCCATTCAACCTACTTATTTAAATATCTTCCCGTTGCTTTGTTACAAATCTAGAAATAGGTTTAGTATTTAAACTGAATTAGGAAACGGCAGATGCTATAAAGTGATTGTCTTCTAAATACGCACTTTTCAACATGTGTGTAAATCGGAAGAAATCTGTCTCCAAAATGAGAAAAACAAAGCAAAAACAACCGCTCTCCCAGCTTCATTAATAGGAAAACCTGTGGTTAAGGCCTGAGTGACTCATCTTTTTCCTTTATCTTAGTTGCTTATGGGAACAGGGGGATGGAGCATGCAAACTCATTTCAGACTGCACCCTTTCTCTTTTCAAGTGTGACTGATTAGAGAAGTAATTTTAAGATTGTCCCTACAGTCTGCGGGGGTGGCAAACCATATTTGTTCCTGTGGTGACCTTCACTGCTTGTTGCCTGTAGGCTGCTTGTTCCATTTTACTTTTATGCTCTCGTAATTGCTAATCAATGTCCCCGTTGAGGGTACTTTATACATCAAAGGGAAAAGTGAAAATACTGACCCTTATCATACCAAAAGTTTCATTTCTGTTACCTGCAAACAAGGAATGTCAACCATAGGCATCTACACCCACTGCACTTACTATACTTTGCCACTGAGGTGTGATCACCAAGTGGGCAAAGAAAGATATGCAAATGGATATGCAGCAGCCCTGATACATGCTATAGATGTTATAATTAGAAGAAGCAGCTCAGTGTTTACTGAAACATTGGCAGGCAGGTTTTGTCACCTTACTATGGAGCAATGTATGTACCTGCCCTGTTTCCAGGTAAGCTGTTCTTACTGGAAGCTAGTTGTGGATTGATACGAACCTACATGAAATACATATCAATCAATGAAGCAAGCAAGCATAAATGTCAAACTACATCTGTTTAAGATAAGCAGTTCAGTTTCCCTTTAGCTATAAGCTGTAGTCCCTAACAGAACCACAGCATGTTATGCTCAGGATATATATATCACCTTGACCCTACAAGGAAAAAGAAAGCAAACTCTGTTCTACTTGTATTAGTGTACTCTGCTGAACAAAAAGGGAAATGACACTGTGTACATACTTTCGTCTGTACGAATTGCGACTTATTTATAAACATACTGTAATTTTGTCATACCTGAGGTAGCGATTTAATTCTTTAGTACTAATAGGAATGACTCAAACAAAATATAATAGCACAGAAAAGGCTCAAATCAAATGTAGATAGGAAATAGTTATTTCAGATATGAACTTCAGGGCACTAGGTCAGGACAACACTTTTCTTATTTCCATTACTGACTTGCAGGCTGTTAATCAAGGATATTAAACTTTAACTAATGTACAAGCAAATTAAAATCTAATCAACAGTTGCTGAATACACTTCCTTTTGTTGAAGATGAGGCCAAATGCTCTGATGTGTCTTCTTGTCATTGTATGACACCATGCTTTTTCTTTAGATAAACAATTAAGAGACAGTACAAAAACCTATAATTATCAGTGTGAGGTGATAAAACAAAGCAACTATTTTGAGTGAGCTACATGTAAGGAAATTCCTATGCCGCTAATTTAATCATCAACAAGACACACGCAAGGTGATTTTGTCTTTACGCAATAAGGATACTTGAAGGTTTGCAGGCAGCGAGAGTAGGTGTGTGATCTCTGTTATCAGCAAGTGTGCATCTGAAAGGGGGAAGAAGGAAACTGCTGCTGTATACAAATATACCACAACTGTCAACATGTCGGAGGCCAGTGGGAGGTGAGGGAGAAGCCCCTTTTTGATTAACACGTATATATATATATATATATATATATATATATATATATATATATATATATATATAAATGGTTTACATATATGTATATAGTTTTTATGTCATGAATAATAAAAGAGTTAAATGGACAACACTAAACAACACTGAAACATCATTTTAGCAAATAACTTCTCATAGTTAAGTCTGTCTGTGATGCACCACTGATTACAACTAACAGCCAACTGATCCTGTGTTGTTAGGTCACATCACCCATGGCACTAACCATGACCACTGATGATATGTCAGAGGGCTCAGTGAAACAGATAGGATTTCAGGATTTTACTAAGTCATACTTAGTGTTGTCAGGTGATGGGTTGGATGAGGCCCATAGGGAAGTGAGTTATTTCCCTATGGGTGAAAGGGAGGTGAAAGTTCCTGTTTCTAATGTCTGACCTTTGTCCACCTCATCTCCTGACAGCTCCAGGTTTGACTCCACCTTTCACAGTTTTACTGCTTCACCCCCTTCCCTCTGCTTCCTGAAATATGGACACTTGCTGTCCAGTACAAAGGGTACAAAAGTAAAATTATTTTCCAAATTAAATAAATAATGTGCCACTTTTTTACCTCAAACATCGATCTTAAGTTACAATGTGTATTAAACCTCCCAAAAACGTAGCACCTAAACTTACAGCTAACGTCATCATTCATTTTCCAAACAGCGTGTGTCACCTGATCAACCGTCAACGCCCACATTCAAGCAAGAACGTTCACACGTTGACGGCGACCACTACGTCCAAAGTTGTCAGCACAGGTAAAACGTGTTTGCCCCTTTTTGTAGTCACATTTACATATATAATTCAAAACTCAAAGCTTAATGTACACAGTATATCAGGTGGGTAAATGTAGCGGGCCTAGCGAGTTTTCTTGGCTAGGTTTGTTTTAAAGCGAAGATGTAAAGATTAGTGACTTTGTTCAGAACTCTGACCTAAAGCACGCTAGCTAGCTAGTTAAATCTCAAATGTTAAAGCGACAGTGACCCTCAAGTTAAGGGCCTTAACCGTTAAGCTATTTTCTTTTTGAACGTAAAGAATTTTCTGTATCTATTGTTAAAGATAAAGCGCTAAAATTATTTTCTAAAGAAAAAAAAAATAATGTTAGCAATTAGCAAAATTGCATTTTAGCAGTTAGCCCACGCTTGGCCTATCTTTAAATACTTGAGTTATATTTTGCAAGGAGAAAGAATGGAGCGATTTATTGAAATTTCCAATCCAACTTTATTTATAAAGCACTTTAAAATAGCCAGCACAGGACCAAAGTGCTGTGCAGTAAATAAGTTAAGAACAATAGATAAAACAAAAGAGCAAAAATTAAAACACATAATGCATAAAGTTAAAAAGCCCTATATTTTTTTTAAAGTGAAATATGTGCAAACATATCTCTTTAGAGTGTTTAAGGCAACAAATAGTTTGTACCACCATTCTGAAAATCAGGACAGTCTGAACTGTATTTGGTAAGCTTTCTCATATATATATATATATATATATATATATATATATATATATATATATATAAATAAAAATAAAAAATTTTTCGGTAGTCTAAAGAAATAGATCTCCAGGTTTCTTAAATGTCATTCATGTCATGTCAGTTCGCTGCCCTTTCTTGTGCTCTCCCACACTGCTTTAGTAATGTTGAAGCGTGGGTTCTGGGGAGGCCAATCCATGTCTCTGGGTGTTCTATTGTGTTTTTTTTTTCCTATCCAGGTATCATTTTGCTGTACTTGTAGTGTGTTTGGGATCATTGTCTTGCTGAAAAATATAGCCGTTGTGAATCAGATGCTTTGGTGATTGTGTATCCAAATCTAAAAAAACTGATCTGCATTCATAATTCTGATCATTTTGAAAAGATCACCAACATCACTGACTTAGATGCAGTCTCAAACCATGACAGAGCCTCCAACACGTTTTATCAGATCAATCACAATTTGAACCAAAAATTTTACATTTGAATTCATCACTTCATAAGATGTGTTTTGTGTTACTGACAGTTCCAGTCGGTATCAGGTTTTTGCTGGACTTTTTCCTCTCTTTTTTTGGGGGGGGACATGACTTTCAGATACTGTACATCTGCTGTAGTTCACTTTTGGCCTCCACTTGTGTACTTTGGGCATTTTTTTTCTTCCCTAGAAGAAAGTACATTTCATGCCAAAAGATGTCAAGTTTGCCATTCCAAGTTTTCAGTTAATAGCTCTTTGAAAATCACCTTGTAGGTGTAAAACTATTGTATGTTTGTCAAACTGTTGTCAGCTCTTTGAAATTGTCCATAGTTTCAACCAAAACAAAAAGAAACAAACCGTGAGCTTTTGTAACAGGCTGCTGGTAGCAAAGTGCCTAAAAACTGGGAACTTTCTGCATTTCAAACCTTTAAAGCAGGTGTCTCAAACTCCAGTCCTCAAGGACCCGTGTCCTGAACACCACAACACACCTGAATAAAATTAGTAGGTCATTAGCAAGGGTATAGAACTTTACTTCATGCTTATCTGGCAACCTCAAACCCTACTCAAGTAAATTTAAGTAAATGTAAGTGTTTGGAAAAATGTACTTCTAAAAGTATTTTTATTCCACCATGTTCATTCACTCATGAGATGCTGTAACATGAATCAAGTGGCTGAATTACCACCTCAGCATGCAGTCAAGTTCTATAGAGTCTTGCTAGTGACCTACTAATTCTATTCAGGTGTGTTGCAACAGGGACACATGGAAAAGTTTCAGGACACCAGCCCTCGAGGACTGGAGTTTGAGACCCCTGCTATAAGGGAACCCTTTAAACTTTATTTATTCAGATAAATGTGGTTGATAAGACATGGCTTTAAGTCAAACAGTGCTGTTCTCCTCTTTTCAGAACTGGTGAAATTTGGCAGGATGTATCGAACTGGTGGATCATTTGGGGGTTCCAGAGGAACTTGTATTGAACAAATTCTCAAGAAGAATTTGCCAACGACATCAGGACCAACCCGATCACCATCTAACATGAATATAGGTTTTGATCAGCAAGTGAAAAGCACTTTTAAACCTGGTAGGTTTGAGAAGTTAATCTACTCCAGATACAGCTCCCACAGTGCTCCAGATAATCAATGTTTCAGCCCCTTTAAGTTGTGGTTTCTGTTGCAGGCCTCCAAATAGAATCTATATGGGTTTAAAATTTGAATCTGCTTTTTCGTGTTTTCCCTACTAAGGTCATGATGGAAGACCAAAAGTCTCTCCTAAAACACTGATTGCCAGATACAGGAATGGAGAGACAAATGCTATATCTTTGCTCCATCAGCTTGCCCAGACTTTGCAGTTCCATCTGGAAATGAAGGAGACAGTAGCCCCAGGTAAATCTTCCGAGCATGCTGGTGCCATTCAAATACAGATCTAAAATCTTTAACAACATCTATGAAGACGTCTTCACGTAATCTATTCAGACAGCTTTACAATGCCACATGGCGTTGTTTATAATGATAGAATACATAGCTGTATTCTATCATTATATATTACTGTTTTTATCTTTGAGGTAAAAGCAGCAATGTTTTAAGGTCTTTCAAGTAAGAAGTGAACTTGGAAATACATTAGAATAATGCAGTTTATTTTTTTATTTATAATGCAATCACAAGATCAGGTCTATGCTAGATTTTTTTTCCTTTTGTTATTTACCCCTTTATACAAAGAAAGAGAAAAAAAACTGTTGTTCAAGAAATTAAGGTATTGTGCCAGAGGCTAAGTCATTAAAGGCTGATGTCATTTCAGACTGGATACAAACTGAAGGATCTTCACAAATTGTGACTTCTTGTTATGCACAGTGGCTGACAGAGAAGATGTCAGCCAGATGTTGGGGTATGATTGTAGTAAAATTCATGACTTTTTCCTGTTTTTTCTTTATTAGCCAGTACAACAGGGCTTTATTTTGCCTTTTGCGCTGTGATCGATGGAGTACAGTACAAGACTGGTATAGGAGTAACAAAGAAGGAGGCTCGTCTGAATGCAGCGGAGCTTGCTTTTCAGGATCTCCAGCCCACCCTGGAGAGTCTGAAATCTGCACTTCCTGAAGCATCATGTTAGTATTTGATGAAAATAAAGTGTTTGTTCTGCAGACTCTGAGATGCACATGTTACTTTTTTACAGTATTTATGATGTTGGTTGTTGCGGTTGTTGTTAATATTGGATACACCATTTAACACAGCTTTTTGCTACATTTATTTATTTATTTTTATTGTACATTAAGTAAATGTAAGGCTGTAAATGTTCTTCGAGCCAGTCTTACCACCGATTTTTGACAATTAATTTGGCAACATTAAAAATGCACATTTAAACATTTTACATTTCATTCACTTCTTTGCCTGCTTTAGCCTTGGATGTCCCTGCACCTTTGCCAGTAAAAGAGGAGCCCGCCATTTCTGATAGCCATGCTCATAGAGCCATGCTCGGTAATTCTGGATTTTATATTCTTTGACTGACTTGTTACCTCTCTGTTTGCATATTTTGTAGTAAATGACACTAACAGTAATATTTTGAACACATCTGTATACGTAGCACACAGACCATATTTTATTGTTGCATAATTTGATTTGAGACCACTGACATTTTATTTTTTAAAAGTGCAATAACCTTTTTTTTGTCTTTGGCATTGCCATCACATTGGTCTGGCTAAGTGTTAAGGATGATTATGTTGGATAGAGTTAGGGATATACATTATGACTTAGGATAGGTATAGATATAGTCAGGGCAGTCGTCCGGCCAGCTGGGGCCTTTGTATGTAGAGTTTACATGTTCTCCCCATGCTTGGGTGTTCTCTCTGGGTGCCCTGATTCTTCCCACTGTCCAAAGACGTGTGTCTTAGTTTAACTGGCAATTCTTAATTGGCCTTAGGGTGTGATTGTGTTTGTGTATGGTTTTCTGCCTCTGTGTGAGCCCTGCAATAGACTGGCGAGCTGGATTGGGTGTACACTGCTGATGCATGCATGTCATTTATGCGATATCATTCCTGCCTTATAGATTTTGTCTGCTAAAATACAACAGCAATGTTTAATTTGAAGGTCAGAGACAAATTTAGTCATATGATTCATTTTACTTATCTAGTCATATCTTGGTTATTTAAATACTTTGTAATGAGAGCAGGTCCTTTTGAACAAGTCCTTGGTTTCAATTTGGGGGACAAACACACTGTCTACTTTCACAATTACTTCATGTTTCCCTTTTGATAACACTACTCACTACTGGAACGTCTGTCCCTGAACAATCCCTCAAGATCTGATTAGATAACCTCTACCTTATTTATCAACGAAGTAGGGAAATTACTTTGACAACAGCCATAAATGTAAACACAACATGTGACAAGATAGCTTAAATAAAATATCGTAGGTCAATAAAGAGAATGCAATATGACAAGACAAATAGCTGAGTGAGTTAAATATTATACAAAAGGAGTACATTTAAATTGAAAATAGAAGAAGAAGCTTAAGAAAGCTACAGGAAAAAGAAGAGGCTAATAGTCAGGCTAGCTCAGCGGCACACAACCATGAGCTAGCCTTGCATAAGATGAGATTGGATAAGCTGTACTTTTTAATTAACTACCAAAGTAGGGAAATTAGTGTGTCAAAGTAGTAAATACAACCAATGACAAAATATCATAGGTCAACAAAGAAAATACTAAATGAAAAGGCAAAATAGCTCAACAAGTCACAATGTACACACAAATTTGAGTACATTTAAATAAAAATGGAAAAGGTATCTTTAAAAGAGTTTTTATGAATACAAATCTGGATACAATAATGAACTTAAGTAAAAATCTAACAAATGAGTACAGGCGTTATTGAAGATTTCCTATGTCTGTCCTTGTTTTAGCTGAGCTGAAACAGATGTTAGTGAAAGTTCCTCTACATCTCCATAGGAGGCATCAAGTACTTATTCCCTCTGGGTTTTAAGCAGCTTACCAAGCTAGTCCATCTTATAGTTAGAGAACCTCTCACTGATATGATGATGGCTCGAAAATGCTGTGTTTGTATTCATTAAGCTGCTACAAGTTCAGGCTGCTGGTGGACCTCCTGTGATGCACTTTTTTTCTTTCTTTCATAGTTTGTGTTTTGTCCTGTTTATTATTTTTAGCCACTTTATGCTCTTTACTGAGCCGTGTCCTGTTAGAGGTCTCTTCCGGTTAAAAGGGAATTCTTTCTTCCCTTTGTTATCAAGTGGTTGCTCGGGCAGTATCTAACATTTTAGAGCTTACAGTGGGGCAAAAAAGTATTTAGTCAGCCACCGATTGTGCAAGTTCCCCCACTTAAAATGATGACAGAGGTCAGTAATTTGCACCAGAGGTACACTTCAACTGTGAGAGACAGAATGTGAAAAAAAATCCATGAATTCACATGGTAGATTTTGTAAAGAATTTATTCGTAAATTAGGGTGGAAAATAAGTATTTGGTCACCTCAAACAAGGAAAATCTCTGGCTCTCACAGACCTGTAACGTCTTCTGTAAGAAGCTTTTCTGTCCCCCACTCGTTACCTGTATGAATGGCACCTTTTTGAACTCATCATCTGTATAAAAGACACCTGTCCACAGCCTCAGACTCCAAACTCCGCCATGGCCAAGACCAAAGAGCTTTCGAAGGACACCAGGAAAAGTATTGTAGCCCTGCACCAGACTGGGAAGAGTGAATCTACAATAGGCAAGCAGCTTGGTGTGAAAAATTCAACTGTGGGAGCAATCATCAGAAAATGGAAGACATACAAGACCACTGATAATCTCCCTCGATCTGGGGCTCCATGCAAGATCTCATCCCGTGGGGTCAAAATGATCATGAGAATGGTGAGCAAAGATCCCAGAACCACACGGGGGGACCTGGTGAATGACCTGCAGAGAGCTGGGACCAAAGTAACAAAGGTCACCATCAGTAACACACTACAACGGCAGGGAATCCCGCAGTGCCAGACGTGTTCCGCTGCTGAAGCCAGTGCATGTCCAGCCCCGTCTGAAGTTTGCCAGAGAGCACATGGATGATACAGCAGAGGATTGGGAGAATGTCATGTGGTCAGATGAAACCAAAGTAGAACTTTTTGGTATAAACTCAACTCGTCGTGTTTGGAGGAAGAAGAATACTGAGTTGCATCCCATACACACACCATACCTACTGTGAAGCATGGGGGTGGAAACATCATGCTATGGGGCTGTTTTTCTGCCAAGGGGACAGGACGACTGATCCGTGTTAAGGACAGAATGAATGGGGCCATGTATCGTGAGATTTTGAGCCAAAACCTCCTTCCATCAGTGAGAACTTTGAAGATGAAACGAGGCTGGGTCTCCCAACATGACAATGATCCAAAACACACCGCCCGGGCAACAAAGGAGTGGCTCCGTAAGAAGCATTTGAAAGTCCTGGAGTGGCCTAGCCAGTCTCCAGACCTCAACCCCATAGAAAATCTGTGGCGGGAGTTGAAAGTCCGTGTTGCTTGGCGACAGCCCCAAAACATCACTGCTCTCGAGAAGATCTGCATGGAGGAATGGGCCAAAATACCAGCTACTGTGTGTGCAAACCTGGTAAAGACCTATAGTAAACGTTTGACCTCTGTTATTGCCAACAAAGGTTATGTTACAAAGTATTGAGTTGTATTTTTGTTATTGACCAAATACTTATTTTCCACCCTGATTTACGAATAAATTCTTTACAAATCCTACCATGTGGATTCATGGATTTTTTTTTCACATTCTGTCTCTCACAGTTGAAGTGTACCTGTGGTGCAAATTACTGACCTCTGTCATCATTTTAGGTGGGGGAACTTGCACAATCGGTGGCTGACTAAATACTTTTTTGCCCCACTGTATATGTTAAAATGTGAAGAGCCTTGAGATGGCTGTTGTTTGCACTGACACGTGGAAAGACAATGAACTGACAAATGAATAAGTTGAAAACCTGTCGTTTTCTTTATCTCACCTGTTGTACAGAAAGGAAGCCATTTGTCAATCTGCAGATTCCACATGCTGTCAGGGATCAGCTCACGAAACTGATGAATAGTCACCCAGAGTTCTCCGGATGTGCAGTCACCACAGCAGCATTCATTCTTCAGACTTGTAAGTGAGACCTCAAAGTAAGAACGATAGATGGTAACCAGTCTGTTAGTGGAAAAAAGATTTTAGAATGCTTGATTTAAATCTTCATCTTGAATATAGTGACAACAGTTTTGTTTTGTTTTTAATTCCTTGCAGTGTAAATTAGTCCTATAAGCAACTGCTGTTATCTAATTTCTAAGATTATTGTACAACATTACTTTTAGTATAGTGTAGTTTTAAGTGCTGGATTTTGCACAAAAACAATTCATTGAAATACAATAGCTTTGATTTACTGTATAGCGTACAAATGTTAGAGCCAAAGACACTTCCTGACATCGTCCTAGAGAAAAAAGAACTTGACAGGTTAGACAAAAACTGTATTGACTGAAGAATCTGTACAGGGATGGGAGATAAAGCATGTAGTTTATTGTACGGAAATGTTTTGTTTGTTTTTTTTTCTTTAGTGGGAAGACAAATATTGTTCATTTAACTTTTGAACAGCTGTCAGCTGGTAGCATTTATCAGGTACTGATAAATTCTTAATTATCTCAAGCTCCTCAGACCGAGGTCTTTAAGAGCACGGAAGTTATCAAAATCATCCAGCTTGGAATTTCTTCTTTAAGATGACAGAGTAAAAGCCAAAATATATTTTGAAAGAATTCCAGTGTGTAAAGTAAGCAAAGAGACATCTTCTGTCAGAGTCCTTTGGAAACAGGTACTATATGCAGATAAGATACACAGAAAATAACAGCTGTATGCGTGAAGAAAAAAAAATGCAGTGTTTGCTTCAATTAATGCTGCTGTCTTTACTCTCCCCACCAAACTGGAATTTTCAGCTGATTGGTATAGGTCTGGTCATGTCATGTTATGCCTTAGTGCTGTGTGACAGCCAATGACTGTTTTTATAACACAGCAGTAACCCAAAGCATACCTCAAAATCCAGCTGAACTTTAACAATCAATAGGAAAGGAAAAACCTGCTCAGTGAGCTGTTTTTGGCAGGCCTGGAGTACTTTTTTAAAAATTTAATTCCTTATTTAATGGTGAGTCGCACAAAATTCTCTCATGGATAAAAAACTGTAGCTATAGATAGAACAACAATACTTTTGTTAAGGAAACTGAAACAGACATGAGTTATATAAATGTTATAGAATGATATGTTGAGTGGCTATCAGGTAAATATGTTGTATTTACCTCTCCTCACACTTTTGTCTTTCTCTAGCCAATGGATATGAAGTGGTTGCTCTTGGGACTGGTAATTTTAATACAAAAGAGAGTATCTCATCGAACGGGAGGATTGTGCATGATTCACACGCAGTTGTCACAGCAAGAAGATCTCTTATGAGGTTTGTTGCAACCATGACCCATATTTTTTTATGTGTCATGTCACGTTATAGCAAATGGTTTTCTCCACTTTATACCATGATGGAAAAATGAAAGCAGTATTTTTTTTCCCATGCAAATTTGAAACCTGATTTTTAAAATACCCATTAGTTATATGTTGTAATGTTATATTATATGCATTGCAATGTAATAAAATATAATATAATCACTAATTACTTGTGATATTATGTCGTGGCTGAGTGATGTCAACAATATCAATATCATAATTTGTAACATTTTCTCAACAGTGGTAATCGATTGTTTTACTCCAATAAATATTTTGCACACTGTTTATCTAAATCTAATATTTTACAGCTATAGACTCTGGTTAAAAATATTTTTCATTTACCTTGTGGTTTTTGTAGATATAAATAGACCTCTAACGGTAATTGTTTGTCTAATGGAACATACTAAACCAAAGATGATTCATTCTAACCTCAGTACAACACAGCAGTTTAAGTGGATACATGTACACTTAACTCTCGTGTTCTTAAAATGTCGTAATGTATAAAGCACTTTGAGGGCTCAGAGTAGAAAAGCGCTATATAAGAACCAGTCCATTTACCATTTTCCTATTTATCAATGATGGTTATTTAGACACAGATGCAAGTCAATAATACCAGAGCTAATCTCTTAGCTCACTTCACTTGTCTTTACCTCTTTTTTGCTGTTTAATAAAAAACTAACTTTATTAAAAAAAATAAAAAGCCCAAAAGTGTTTTACACTATCTTATACTGTTCAACCAGCAAATCCAGAGTATACTTTTGGTCCCCAACTTACAATGTGCGTGTAGATTGTAGATGATGTTCGTTAATACATCCATCCATACATCAGTCTTCTTCTAATTAGCTGAAGCCAGGTCACGGGCTGCAGCCTAAGCAGAGAAGCCCAGACCTCCTCCTCCACACCCACCTCCTCATTCTTGTCTGGGGTAACACCAAGCATTCCTTGGAGCCAATTTAACTTCTTCAACTGGCTCCTTTTGATGTGGAGGAGTAGCGGCTCTACTCTGAGCCCCTCCTGGATGGCTGAACTCCTCTCTCTAAGGGAGAGGCCAGTCACCCTTCGGAGAACGCTAATTTCCATGTCCTGGTCGCTAGTTTTGGACATCCACCCCTACAGCGCCTCCTGCAAGTGGTGGGCCTACAGGAGGGGGGCCCATGTCCCTTTTTCAGGCTGCACCCGACCCGGCCCCATGGTCTAAGGCCCGGCCACCAGTCGCTCACCCTCTGGCACCCTCCCCAGATCTGTAACCCTGAGTGAACTCTTCCCTGGGTCTTCTCCTCCTGGGGTTTTTTTGAATCACTCTTTGTCTAATCCCTCACCCAGGATTTGCCATGGGAGACCCGCTGATAGGTAAGATAACATAGCCCCTGGGATCCCTGGGACTTTGCTCCACCACGATAAAGTAGCGATTCATGGAAGGTCATTAACCCTTTAAAGCCGGTCGGAGTGGGCACGCTCAGTTTTGCGTAACTAGTTTTAAAGCACTATAGAACCGGAACCACGTAAGCTAGCACAATAATTTTTTTTGCATATGAAACCGGAGGAGTTGTACTTACATCTTATGCCATCAGCTTGTCCTAAGTCACGGTTTCCTTCCACATGCAGCTTTGCAAAAATTGCATAAAAAGCACTTGCAGCAACAAGCTCCAGAAACAGGCTTTGCCGATCCGATCAGCTGTTCATAACACTTCCTATGTTGGAATAGACGTCAGGGCGAACTATCACATGGCCGCCACTACTTGCCCGAAACCGGAAGTGACGTCATTTTCGTAGAAAATTTTATTTTTTACCTTCGGGGCCTTATAAGCCTATACTGGTGTTTTTATAAGTCATGTTTGACTTCATGCTTTTCTGAATAGTTTCTGTGATGCTTAGAACTCAAATTGCACTGCTGGAAATAGTTTATTTTGGTGCACATGCTGGGTTTTTTTTTTGGGGGGTTTTTTTTTTGCAAATTTGCATTATAATATTTATTTTCGTTTTTCCTGCAGTATATAAAAAATCGGTGTATCTCAAAAATAAAACTATGAAGACACTCAAAATAAATTTCCTCTTGTTGGAAACTATTTTGTGCTTACAGTTTTGAGGGATAAATCTTAAATTTCTCTAACTAGAAATATATGTAAAAAGACACAAAAAAACAAAACAATTTTCGATTTTTTTGTAGTGTATTGCACTTTTTTGTAATTTATGTAGTTGCTATGGACTTAATGCATACATATTATTAAAATGTGGGCTATAATGGTTGTATTGATGTATAGCAATTGAAATGCTCCCAGAAATGGGACTGCAGCATGTAAAATATAACGATAAGCTCTGGCAGACTTGGTTCTATGGTAGGTCTTAAAGGGTTAATCATGTTCATTAATACAATCAAATATAATCATTCCCTTTTTTAAGGTTTCATTTGTGTGTCCTGACCTACTTTGGTATAGGCTGATTGCAAATGTTTTCAGTTAATATGTTTTGTCCACTAAAATTCTAGCAGACTTTTAATTTGAAATCGTTATCATGTCTGAATATATAGAGATTAATGACTATCATGTATAAAGAGCTTATGTGCAAATGTGTCTGACAATGGCTGGCTTTATTTCCTGTTTAAATGTTAAGAGATCTCTGAAAGCAATGTTTTGAGGTCTGCGGGCAAACATGTTGCTTGTGTATTTCTTTGTCTTTTGGAGACCTTAAAGTAAGCTAACTGCAGCAAACCTCACATTATGCTCAAATGGGTCAGTATAGTAGCTTTAACTTCAAGATTTAGTGATATTGCAGATTTTCACTTTTAAAAAATGTTACTACATAGATCTATGGCCACTTTGCACAGAATAAGTAATATCTCCTTGTTGGCAGGTTCCTGTACCGGCACCTGCTGATGTTTTTCAGCAAAAATGCAAATCTCACTCAGAAGTCAATCTTCCAGCAAAGCAGCAGCAGCAGCTTCCTCAGCCTGAAGAGTGGTATAACTCTTCACCTCTATGTCAACCAACTGCCAAAGGGTGCTGCGCAGATCCCTTCCAAACTGTAAGTGCTTATCAGCTTAACCCCACAGAAGTTCATTTCCTTTAACGCCTCTTCTCTCTCGCTTTTGAAAACAGGTGAACAAAAATATGTTACCTACATTTTAGCAGATTTTTTTTGCTTCTTACCCATCTTTGTAGTAATGACTGAAACACACAGCATGAACCTGAAATGGTTTACACAGGCTCTGGCATAATAATGACCTTTTTAATATTGGCTTACTCATCTCACTCAGTTTAGCAGTTTACTCATACTCAGTTTAATATAGGAAAAATACCAATACATAATTAACACTGTGTCAGGTGCAGTGCTTTTCCAGCCAGAGGCTGCAGTTATGTCATATTTGACCTGGTCCTGATAATAGCAGTGATTTAATGGACTGAAAGAGGAACATATACGGCCCAAGTCTAATGGCTGTATGGAAATCTCATACTAAAAGATTTGTTATACTTAGGAGGCAGAGTTTAGTTTTGAAACGTGACTAAAAAAATAAAGTTTATTATATATAACATTATTTTGATGATGTAGATAAGAATCTGTTCACATGAACCATTTCTGAAAACTCACAGGCAAGAACTTATTTTCATAAATCTTAAATCAGAAGTGTCCAACTCCAGGCCTTAGGGACTGGTGTTCTGCGGATTTTAGATATTATGCTGGGTCAACACACCTGAATCAATGATTATTTCATTACCAGGCCCCTGGAGAACTTCAAGACATGTTGAGGAGGTAATTTAGCCATTTAAATCAGCTGTGTTGGATCAAGGACACATTTTAAAAACTCCAGGACACCCTCTCTTGAGGCCTAGAGTTGGACACCTCTGTCTTAAATGGTTATAGAGTAATAATACATTTTGATCAGTCCACAGGTGAAAATTATTTTAAGAGGTAAAAAAAAAAAAAAAACCCAATCACGTCACATCAATCAAGTTTTTGCTCTTGTCACCCCACATTTATTGCTTCTTGATGTATTACTATTTGTTTTTGTTTAATGTGGATGAATGGAGACAAATGTTAGTGGGTAGTGCGCTCGCTGTTAACATATCCCCACTGATTGTACTCCCCTACTATCCTATTGTGCTTTTTCATAAATGTATGTGGTTCTGGGTTGTTAAACTCCCCGAATACCAGAATCTTTATGCACATGCACCATCCCGGTAAACTGTCAGAAAACAAGACTTGGATCTATTTCTTCAACAGTGCTGAGCAGAAAATGCTAAAAAAAAAAGGCATGAACTTTAATAGTTGACTGAGTGTTTCTAGTTAAAGCACATTAACATGTATCTGTATGAGGTTGGATGATGATCAAATCCCAGTTTTTTATCAATTTGTGCTATTGACAGTGCAGTTGGCAGCAGATTGATGCAGCAAAAGCAGTACAGCTCTGAGACATGTATGCTTAGCTCAAAGTCTAACACACATTTTCCACTAAAATACCTGAAACTCACTTCGTGTTACCACATTTGATTGAACCTCCCACATATTTATGCCTCTCCACCCACCAAAACGCAAAACAAAGATGAGCAAAGCAAATTTCGGGGGTGCTTTTCATTATGGTAACATGTCTGCTCACTTTCCTCACTCACTCTAATTCTTGCTTCTTAGTTTACACTGGCAAAATTATAAAAGAGAGAAATGTGAAGCTGACATACCTTGATATCATACCATATACTGATAAATCAGTTTTAAACAATCCAGTCTTTAAGTGATGACGTGATGAATCCTGCTTCCGTGCCCAAACTACTCCACGTTTAATAAGGCTTTTGTGTTTTTTACGTTTTCATGCTTTGTATCTTGTTCTTTTTGATCTCAACAAGCCCCTAAAAACAGTCACCGATCACTGTCGGCCTCTCTGTTTTTATTACCGCTAATCATTTTAAAGCTCACTTTTTAAAACCTTACGATGTAACTACAGACCAGCCCATGCAGCAGTATATTAATAACTAACCTTGTATTATGGATGGATTATCTCAGTTGTTCTCCCGACTGAAGTTCGGTCTGTTCGGTGTGGTCAGCATCCTGCCATGTGACTGCATTTGTCCCGAACCTTCAGCAACCATCACGTTAACTTTTATGGAGTGGAAAAAATTTGGCATTCATCCTTCAGCTTCACTGTTTATATTATGCTAACATAGCTGTGTCGCTAGCGATCACGTAGCATATCATTATATAACCCTACAAACGTCACTGCTGTCTACTTTCCTGTCTTCATTTATGTCGGAAATGATAGCAGAGCTGTACATCTTAATTTGATTCGGAAATCCCTCAGTGAGAACATGGTATATTATATTTAGATGGAATCTAGCAAGCTAACGTCCTGCTAACTTCTAACTCCATTAAATTTCATAAATTTGGTTTTCATGGATGCCTGGATGTTAAATGTAATTGTTACACCTGGTAGAGCAGCAACGCTGATCATTTTATTACAGATGAAAGGATTTAGACAGTTTTTAACTCTGTGATGCCGCAGTGATCGTGTGACTTAGGGACCTGCAGCGAAGTTTGGGCCCACACAGGGCTAATGACGTCAGACTTAAAGACTGGATATTAGTTACTTGTGAGATAAACGGATGTCATTAAGTCACAAGAGAGGACACTAGGAAGCATAGGTTAGCATAACAAAAGGCACCCAAGATAATACCAGAGTGTGTGAGTGCAGCTTGCATTGGTTTTTGGAATGCGGCTGAAACGTGGTCCATGAAGAACCTGATGTCAGCTATCTGTGAGTGATGTTGGTAAAGAGTTAAATTAATTAGAACTTCAGTTTAAACAGTTCGGGTTATAGAAGTTTGAATAACATCTTGAAAGATATATCTCTAAATAATATCTCTAAAGATATTATTCAAGGTCAGAAATATTTTTCTCACCTTTCTGCTTAATTTGCAGGCGCCTGAACCCACTCTCCATGTCAGCATGGCAAGTTAACAGCGAGATCAGCCTACACCTGTCTGTGGAGGGCAAGGTGTTGTTTAATTTCTTTTATCTGCTGAACACCTAAATGATTCACCTGTACCTGTGTTGATGCATAAGTATAAAGGTGTACTTTCTTTTAAAGGTGTTCTCGGTTTTCTCATCACTCCTTGATCAATCTAACTCCAAAGTTGTCAGCATGTCCACAACAGACAAGATCACTCAGTGGCAGGTCCTTGGATACCAGGGAGCCTTGCTTAGCCACTTTATCGAGCCCATCTATGTCCACAGCATCCTCATAGGCAAGTAATAAAATCAGTCATGCTCCTTAAGGGTAGTTGGGAATCACCCTGTATTTGTTACCTTTTCCAAAATATGAGAAGGTAGCAAATGAGAGACCCTGTTTTTTTTTGTTTTGTTTTTTCTTATTTTTATTTATTTATTTTTTATCATTATGCAAAAGTGCATCACCACCAAGTCCAAATACACCAGTAGAATCACTCCACGTTGGCACTGGGTTAGACAGTGTGGGTGAATGCTAGACGTCTTCATTTTTGCCGTTAATAGTGATATGAACACAGTTCTTGTGCTTTTGTCATTTCACAAAGTTTTTACAAAGCACTAGTCTCTCACACAGTCCCAATTTAAAATGGAATAGAGCAAGCATCTTAAAGATTCATTTCATTTCAGGGCTGGGAGGACTCTATTAGGGTGTACTTCACATCATAAAAAGATAGGACAAATTGTTTTTCCAAGACAGATCTTAGTGTAGTACCTGCTGTCATTTAAAAGTACAGTGGAACCCCGACTTACGAAATTAATTCGTTCCTGAGGGTCTTTCGTAAGTCGAAAAGTTTCCTAAGTCGAAGCACCCATTGCGCGTTTTGAGTGAGGCGATGCTGAACGATAGGCTAATTGCTAACTAGAACAACAATACGTCGTTCAAGTGGAACAGCGAAGCTCAAGTACAGAAGCCAAGGGGTTGTCACACGATTCAGAAGGCATTGTGGGCATTGTAGGCTCAGCCAATCAGAGCCAGCGGATTTCGTTACTCTGGCATTTTGCCGTAACACAGGCAGAAATATTGCCATTCAGTGCCTTCGTAGCTTGAATTTTTCGTGAAACCGGGTATTCGTAAGTCGGGGTTCCACTGTATGTGGCAAAGAAACAAACTGATGGCTCTACATTTCATACTCATACAATTCCTTCTGTAACTTTGTGTAACCCTACATAAGATCAATGTATGCACCTGCTTTTAGGCAGGTGAAAAACAGTTGACAGATTCCCCAAGTTGTCCTTTTGACAATGTATCACTATGTCACAGTAGTGTATCCTCAAGTTTCCAAGTTATTTTTACAAAGGTAAAGTAATAATTTTCTTCCTTCCTCTCCTTTTTCATAATCATAATGACTTTGACCACATTGATTCAGTCTGTAAGGGATGGGGAAACTCCAAAATGAGTTATACTCTATATTTGCAGCAAACAAAGTCAAACACCTTCACAATTGCAGATTGCAGCAAGATTAGTCATAAAAAAATGATACCACTAACTGAAGGAAACTACATATGATTCTGTGTCTTGTAACTTTAAATCAACCTTGCAGGTGACTCTGACTGTAGTGAAATTCGTGGCATGGAGATGTCTGTCAGCCAGCGTGTAGAGGGCATCACCTCCAAGCTGCCCATGTTCTATTGCATGATGAGGCCTCACATTAGCCTGGTGCCATCTGCGGCTTCCAGTCATGCAGGCGGTAACCAGCTGACCTACGGTATCAACTGGAGCGAGGGAGACAGCTCCCTGGAGGTTGTGGATGGTCTGGAGGGCAAGACCATAGAGGAGTAAGAATCACTGTATAGGAAGTTGGGAGAATTGAGGGGTTTTGGGGTTTGATACTTATTTTTATATGCTTTATTTTAGTTATACTTTTAAAATGAAGCATCTTAAAATAATACGCTACCAGTGAAAAGTTTGGACACATCTTCTCATTTAATGGTTTTTCTCTATTTATGCTACTTTCTAGATTGTAGATATAGACATCAAATATATAAAACAAGATATATGGAATTGTGTAGCAAAGAAAGAAATCATGAATAACTCTGAGTATATGTGATATTTTAGATTACTGAAAGTAGCCACCCTTTGTTTTGTTGACAGTGCTGCAAACCCTTGGCCTGTTAGTGAGCTTCATGATGTGGTCACCTGAAATAGTTTTCGCTTCAGAAGTTTTCCTTGCCAGGATTAATTTGTGTAATTTCTTGCCGTCTTAATGGGTTTGGGACCATCAGTTGTGTTGGGCAGAAGTCAGGTTGGTACAAAGTGAACAGCCCTATTTGATAACTGTTATAATTTCATATTATGGCAAGAACCAATCAGCTAAATACGCATTTGATTTACAGGTACAACATATTTATGACCACAATTTGAGCCCATACAATCCATCATTACTTTAAGAACTGAAGGTTAGTCAGTCTGGAAAATTGCAAAAACTTTGAATGTGTCCCCAAGTGCAGCTGCAAAAACCATCAAGTGCTATGATGAAACTAGCTAACATGAGGACTGTCCCAGGAAAGGAAGACCAAGAGTCACCTCTGCTGCTGTGGATAAATTCATCCGCGTCACCAGCCTCAGAAACCACAGCACCTCAGATGAGAGCCCAGATAAATGCCAGTAGCAGACACATCTCTACATCAACTGTTCAGAGGAGACTGCACGAATCAGGTCTTTGTAGTAAAAATGCTGCTAAGAAACCATTACTAAGAAAAAGTAATAACAGATATGTTTGGGCCAAGAAACGCATGGACCAGTGAAATCTGTGCTTTGGTCTGATGAGCCCAAATTTGAGATCTTTGGGTCCAACCGCTGTGTCTTTGTGCGACGCAGAAAAGGTGAACGGATGGTTTCCAAATGCATGGTTCCCACTGCGGAGCATGCTGGAACAGGTGTCAATGTGTGGGGGTGCTTTGCTAGTGACACTGTTGGGGATTTATTCAAAATTGAAGTCACACTAGTTGTACCATAATTTATTTTTCAACAGGAAAATGACTCCAAACACACCGCCAGGCTGTGTAAGAGCTATTTGACCAAGAAGGAGAGTGATGGAGTGCTGCACCAGATGGCCTGGCCTCCATAGTCACCTGACCTAAACTCAATCGAGATGGTTTGGCATCAGATGGACCACAGAGTGAAGGCAAAAATGCCCAACAAGTTCTTGTGACCTCTGGGAACTCCTTCAAGACTGTTGAAAAGCCATTTTAGTTGACTACCTCATGAAGCTCATCAAGAGAATGCCAAGAGTGTGCAAAGCAGTAATCAAAGCAAAGGATGGCTATTTTGAAGAATCTAAAATATAAAACATGTTTTGAGTCTACATGTGTTTTGTGGACTTGGAGAAGGCATTCGACAGTGTCCCTCAGGTGGTCCTGTGGGGGGTGCTCCGGGAGTATGGGGTGTCATTGCTACGGGCCATTCAGTCCTTATACGACCATTACAAGAGCTTGTTCTGCATAGCCGGCAATAAGTTGGACTCATTCCTGGTGGGTGATGGGCTCCGCCAGGGCTGCCCTTTGTCAATGATTCTGTTCATAATTTTTATGGACAGAATTTCTAGGCGCAGCCAAGTGGCGGAAGGCTTTCACTTTGGTGGTCTCAGGATCTCATCTCTGCTTTTCACAGATGATGTGGTCCTGTTGGCTTCATCAGGTGATGGCCTCCAGTTCGCCTTGGAACGCTTCGCAGCCGAGTGTGAAGCAGTGGGAATGAGAATCACCACCTCCAAATCTGAGGCCACGGTCCTCAGCCGGAAAAAGGTGGAGTGCCCACTCCGGGTCAGGGACGAGACTGCCCCAAATGGAGGAGTTTAAGTACCTCGGGGTCTTGTTCACGAGTGATGGGAAAAGGGAGCGGGAGATCGACAGATGGATTGGTGCAGTGGCTGCATTGATGCGGCGCTATACCGGTCTGTTGTGGTGAAGAGAGAGCTGAGCGTAAAAGCAAAGCTCTCAATTTACCGGTCGATCTACGCCTCTACCCTCACCTATGGTCACGAGCTGTGGGTAGTGACCGAAAGAACGACATCGCGACTACAAGCGGCGGAAATGGGTTTCCTCCCAAGGATGGCTGGCCTCTCCCTTAGAGATAGGGTGAGAACCCAGTCCTTGGAAATGCCTGCACTTTCTATCACCTCGGAGTACTACACACCACAGGAAATGGTGGGCTTTAAAAAGACAAATCATAGAGTGAAGAAGACCTGGAAGAAGGAGAAGAAATCCATTGCAGATGACTTTCACCTCAATGACACCTGCAGCTCTGACTTTGGCTCCAGGACACGTGGCCGAGGCCTCAAACAGGAGAATGATGAAGACCAAGAAGTAAAGAAGGAGGAGAAGGTGGTGACGCATGAAATCCACCTGCTGTCTGGCGACATCAGGATGACAGAAATGGACATAAGCGACAATGAGGAATTTACCCCTCCTGAGCATGCTGTAATTGAGGAGGATGAGGCAGAGCAGGAACTGCAGAAGCAGAGGAAGCTGAAGCAAATGCAGCTCCTGAAAGACTCTGGGGAGAAAGTGGCAGAGCAGGTTAAGAACCTTGTTAAAAATGACAACGAAGACCATCCTGACAAGAGGAACAACTTTTTTTTTTTTTTTTTTAATGCTACCTCAGAGTTTTGCAGAATCCTGGGTGATATCCCAACATGCGGACTGTCAGGCAACAGAGGACCAGGAAGACATTATGGACTTTGAACAGGAGGAGGAAAAAGATGATGCTGGAGGTTAAGACTCTTGATATGGATGAGAATGTTGGATGGAGTTAACCTGGATCACGAGCAAAATCAACCAGATTTTGCCACAGCCTGTGCCACCATTTTGGACGAGGAGCCCATCGTCAACTCTGGCCTCGTTGCTGCACTGTTGCTGTGCAAAAATAAGGGTTTGTTGGACACTCAAGTGCAGAAAGTAGCACGTGTCAAAGCACCAAAGGGTGCCCTGCCCAATGGTGACTAGTGCATTGAGGACAAGATGGGCTTTGATGACAAGTACAGCCGCAGAGAAGAATACAGAGGTTTCATGCAAGACTTCAAGGAGGATGGCTGCAAGCCTGACGTCAAGATTGAGTACGTGGAGGAGTCTGGGCGGAAACTCACTCCAAAAGAAGCTTTTAGGCAGCTCTCCATCTATTCAACGGAAAGGGGTCTGGAAAAATGAAGACCGAGAGGAGGATGAAAAAGCTGGAGGTAGAGGCGTTGCTGAAGAAGATGAGCAGCAGCGATACCCCTCTGGGAACTGTGGCTTTACTGCAGGAGAGGCAAAAATCCCAGAAAACACCATCTATTGTGCTTGGAAACAGTATGAATGCAAACACAATTACTAAATAAGCATGAGGGGAGAAGTGTATTATAATTGTGTATAATTAACGTAGAAACATTCATGTGCATAGATAAAATACACCACACATATACACATCTTTTAATTAATGTCTATGATTTAATGTCCTAGTTTTTTGAAGCTGCAATGTTGTGTTTTTAATTGTTCAATAAAATCAGTACAATTCAGAAGGGGAAAAAAAAGAGAGAGAGGGTGATTCGGCCATTTGGGAGGGGCTCAGAGTAAAGCCATTGCTCCGCCACATCGAAAGGAGCCAGTTGAGGTGGTTTGGGCATCTGACAAGGATGCCCCCTGGGCGAGGTTTTCTGGGCATGTCCCACCGGGAGGAGGCCCCAGGGCAGACCCAGGACACGCCGGAGAGATTATATCTCTCGGCTGGCCTGGGAACACTTTGGTGTTCCCCCAGATAAGCTGGAGGAGGTGGCTGGGGAGAGGGAGGTCTGGGCTTCTCTGCTTGGCCTGCTGCCCCTGAGACCCGGCCCCGGATAAGCAGAAGAAAATGGATGGATGGATGTTTTGAGTTATTTTATGCTTTTTTTGTTTTACATAATTCCATGTGTTCATATGTAGTTTTAATGCCTTCAGTGAGAATCTACAATGTAAATAGTCATGAAAATAAAGAAAAACCATTAAATGAGAATGTGTGTCCAAACCTTTGACTGGTGGTGTATACCCTAAATAATATACGAGAAATGACTAATTGAAAGATCAGATTATTGTAAGGTTTTTACTAGACCACTTGGAAATGTAATTAACATGTTACCAGATATATTGAGAACTATAGGCAGTATCCTTTTTTGACTCAACTCGGGCTGTATTAGAACATCATAACTAGAGTTTCAGACTCATTTATTTATTTGGTGTTTAGCTCTCCCTTTAAGAGTGGATCTGCCCTAGCAAGCCGTCTGTGCAAAGCAGCGATGATGCACCGCTTCAGGTTGGTGGCCAAAGAGGCTCAGAGGACGGACCTGCTGGCCACAAGTACCTACAGAGAAGCCAAGGTAAACTCAGCACCTTCTTCTGTGTAATCTGAAACTTTATTTTAGCAATGTAAACTGCTGTACACTGATCCAATAGAAAGCAAATGCTGTTAAACACGTTAAAATAACCACCACACAAGCTTATTGTATTTTCTGCTTTTTTTAAATGACCGTTTCCTGACTTGCTGAGTTGTTGTTTTAAAAAGAACCCCAAGCTGTTATTCATACTATATATTTTTTGGGTCACTGAAGATGATGGCAAAGCCATACCAGGAAGCCAAGAATGTGCTGCGGGCGTACCTGTTGCAGAAGGGCTTTGGTTCCTGGCAAGACAAGGTCTTGGTTAGTGATAACTTCAGCATGTGAATAATGTTACAACATTAAAGAAGAATGTTGATCAATAATCAGTTGTGTTCAAAACGTTCAGCCTACTTTTCATTTGCACCACTTGCTGCATGTTGGTTTCAGAATTTGTTTTTTCAAAATACGTTTAAAGATTTGTAGAAAATAATTTGAAAGCACCCAACATAGAATATTGCACCACAACTGGTCTTTAGTTTTGCTTCTTTCAGTTAATACATGTACTGTATATTAAGTACATTCTTTCTTTATTAACATTTTCACTGGTTCATATACTGTATCTTTTGTGATGGAAATGGCCATAGAGCTTAGGACAGAAAAAAATAAAAGTATGTCAGCCAAAGCTCATATCTATTTTTTTTGCCACTTGTATTTTTTATGGTGAATTTTCTGTTGGTGTCAAATTGTTACTTACATTTGTAAGTCTTAGTTCAAGCAGCATGATCAAAGACATTCCTTTGTTTCTCACCCCCTCCCCAGACTGTTGAACGGTGGGGGAGGCTGTAGTGTTTTATTATGGGACATCCTATGTGAAGGTTCTCTTTTCTTGTTTAGTAAGCTTCCTGCTTTTAGGACCCTTTTGTCGGCAGGAGTTCACACAAACGCACTCACATGCATACAGACATGCACATTCTCACACATGCATACACACATACAGTGGGGCAAAAAAGTATTTAGTCAGCCACCGATTGTGCAAGTTCCCCCACTTAAAATGACAGAGGTCAGGGATTTGCACCAGAGGTACACTTCAACTGTGAGAGACAGAATGTGGAAAAAAAAAATCCATGAATCCGCATGGTAGGATTTGTAAAGAATTTATTCGTAAATTAGGGTGGAAAATAAGTATTTGGTCACCTCAAACAAGGAAAACCTCTGGCTCTCACAGACCTGTAACGTCTTCTGTAAGAAGCTTTTCTGTCCCCCACTCGTTACCGGTATGAATGGCACCTTTTTGAACTCATCATCTGTATAAAAGACACCTGTCCACAGCCTCAAACAGTCAGACTCCAAACTCCGCCATGGCCAAGACCAAAGAGCTTTCGAAGGACACCAGGAAAAGTATTGTAGACCTGCACCAGACTGGGAAGAGTGAATCTACAATAGGCAAGCAGCTTGGTGTGAAGAAATCAACTGTGGGAGCAATCATCAGAAAATGGAAGACATACAAGACCACTGATAATCTCCCTCGATCTGGGGCTCCACGCAAGATCTCATCCCATGGGGTCAAAATGATCATGAGAACGGTGAGCAAAGATCCCAGAACCACACGGGGGGACCTGGTGAATGACCTGCAGAGAGCTGGGACCAAAGTAACAAAGGTCACCATCAGTAACACACTACAACGGCAGGGAATCAAATCCCGCAGTGCCAGACGTGTTCCGCTGCTGAAGCCAGTGCATGTCCAGCCCCGTCTGAAGTTTGCCAGAGAGCACATGGATGATACATGATCATGTGGTCAGATGAAACCAAAGTAGAACTTTTTGGTATAAACTCAACTCGTCGTGTTTGGAGGAAGAAGAATACTGAGTTGCATCCCAAGAACACCATACCTACTGTGAAGCATGGGGGTGGAAACATCATGCTATGGGGCTGTTTTTCTGCCAAGGGGAACAGGACGACTGATCCGTGTTAAGGACAGAATGAATGGGGCCATGTATCGTGAGATTTTGAGCCAAAACCTCCTTCCATCAGTGAGAACTTTGAAGATGAAACGAGGCTAGGTCTCCCAACATGACAATGATCCAAAACACACCGCCCGGGCAACAAAGGAGTGGTTCCGTAAGAAGCATTTGAAAGTCCTGGAGTGGCCTAGCCAGTCTCCAGACCTCAACCCCATAGAAAATCTGTGGCGGGAGTTGAAAGTCCGTGTTGCTCGGCGACAGCCCCAAAACATCACTGCTCTCAAGAAGATCTGCATGGAGGAATGGGCCAAAATACCAGCTACTGTGTGTGCAAACCTGGTAAAGACCTATAGTAAACGTTTGACCTCTGTTATTGCCAACAAAGGTTATGTTACAAAGTATTGAGTTGTATTTTTGTTATTGACCAAATACTTATTTTCCACCCTGATTTACGAATAAATTCTTTACAAATCCTACCATGTGGATTCATGGATTTTTTTTTTTTTCACATTCTGTCTCTCACAGTTGAAGTGTACCTGTGGTGCAAATTACTGACCTCTGTCATCATTTTAGGTGGGGGAACTTGCACAATCGGTGGCTGACTAAATACTTTTTTGCCCTACTGTATATACACACACGTGGCTACACGTGCACACATACACACACATGGTGCCTTATCTTACTTGCTAGCAAGTAAAAAACGGTTAAAGATGTTCGTCTTGCTTCCTTGTTGTTAACGGGAATGAGTTTCTAAACCAGCGGGGCCTGTGGAAGCGCAGACCCAACATTTTCTTTCTTTCTTTCTTTCTTTTTTTTTTTTTTTTTTTTTTTTTTAATTTCTGGTTGTGAATTAGGCACGGAATAGCTAAACAGAAGGTGTTACTGACCACAAAGCCAGTTTTGTAAGGGCAACCACCAGCTTCTATGTCTACCCTTACTGTGGGACATCATGGGTGCACATGGCACCAGACATGCGTGGTTTTGCTAGTTCTGATATATGACCAAAACCTCAGATTGCTTGGCTCTCATGTTTTTGTGCTAAGCAATCAAGCCGCTTTAAAGGAAAGATCTACATTTGATTCAATAACATAATAGTAAATGGGCTGGTTTTTATATAGTGCTTTCTTACTCGAGCACTCAAAGTAAAAGTAATTTTCAGCTTCTTTTTTTTCATAATTGTTGAAATTCTAAATCATTGCTGAGGTGCATGTTGGATAGCTCTTTATTTAATTATTTATAAAAAATCACCAAGCTTTCACTAAGACTTTAGAGCAAAGTTCAAGATAAACCTAGTAAGTGATTTGTTGTCATAACTGAATATTAAATCTATAAGGTTGTGGATATGTAGCAACACATAGCACTATAATGGGCAAATATTGGCCACTTAGACAAATGTTGATAATTAGATATATAAACTCATTGAGTACAGCTTTTCAAGTAGATCATACTTGTCAGAGAGGTTTTTTTTGGGTCAGTTTTGGTGGCTCAACTGCTCCGTCTGCACTGCTCCCAAGTGGAGTACCACAAGGTTCTATTCTGAGTCCGATTCATTTCGTTTTATATTTAGTTCTTGTAGGATCAGTCCCAAAAAGATATGGCATCTCATCCACTTCTACGCTGATGGTTCCCAAATCTATTTGCCCCTGAAAGGAAATGATAGCAACTCATTAAGTCTTTTGTATTTTGATGACATTAAAGGCTGAACGGCTTTAATGTTTCTAAATTTGTTGAGATTTGTCTGGTGATCAGGTACTTCTCCATGTTCCAAAGACCAGACTTAAGAACAGGGGCGAGCTAGTAAAATATAACCTAATCTATGGAACAATTTGCCTCCACATATTAGGCTAATCCTCACTTTGCAGATATTTAAAGTAGAGATGGACCGATCCGATATTACGTATCGGTATCGGTCCGATACTGACCTAAATTACTGGATCGGATATCGGAGAAAAATAAAAAATGTAATCCGATCCATTAAATATCACGAAAGCACCTCACAAAACTTGCAACACGCCGTAACTCACCTCAGAACGTTAGCACGTCGGAGCAGTATGCATCACGTGATAGAGCGGCTGTGGCATGCGGGACCTGTGGTGGTCTGGATAGCATTTGGAGCTTCGCTAGCAACCCGGCATTTCATCTCCGACAAAGTTATCCCGAGAGAAGTAAAGCAAGTGTGTAAGTCCATCTCTGAATGTTTGTAAAGCATTCCTGCATTAAGCTTAACAAGCGACTGCCTCTCCTGCTGCTACTTCAATCATGAAACTGCTTAACGATCAGCTGATCGGCTTTTCTGTCGCGAGTCCATCTCTCTAGTTTGTTTTTGGCCCACTTTGCACCAGAAAGAGGAAACCAGCGGCTGAACAACAGCAGCACGTTTAAGCTTGATCAGCTGTTGTTAGAATGTATTTAATATTACTTTCTACTCCAGGATCTTTTTCTACGTAGCTGACGGCTGGTAACTGTGCAGGGGCGAATCTAGCAAAGTTTAGCCAGGGGGGCCGATAGGGCATTAACAGGGAAAAGGGGGCACAAAGACATACTTTTCTTTCTTATTCTCATTTAAAATGTCTAGCTTTTAATAAATAATTATCTGACACCCAAAGTTTTAATTTGATGTAAAATGAATAGAAGTCAATTACTGTATATAGTAACTATTAAGTCTAATATATATACCCTAGTAAGCTATAGTACTTTTTCCTTTGGGAAGGTACCATCTGTGCAGTCTGCAATTTTGTTGAAGAAAGATGTTGAATCTATTTAATATTTCTTGAAAAATAATTGATTTCTGTGCATTTTTTTTCACACTGCATCAAATTAAGGTTGATTACGTCGATTAAGCATCATGAGGTGGAGCGTGAGGGGTGGTTCCCTATTTTTTTATTTATTTATTTTTGTTGTTGCTGGGAGTTGGAACCCTATTAGTTAGGTTGCTTAATATTTATGCTAAGTACTCTTTAAAATACCAGAATAGGGAGGATGGTGTAGGTTTAAGTTTATTAGATTGATCAGTATTGCTGAACTATGAAATATTTTTTTTTGCATACAGGTATAACAGAATAGCTTTAGTGTAGTTGTTGTTTTAAACTTGAGTATGAACTTATACAAAATGCAGCAAGATATTTAAAAAACAGTTTTGTTGATTAAAAAACACTATATCGGATTCATATCGGTATCGGCAGATATCCAAATTTATGATATCGGTATCGGACATAAAAAAGTGGTATCGTGCCATCTCTAATTTAAAGTACACGGTGTCTACTGGCAGCAGGAATAATGCACCATAGCACAAAGCACAGATCAGAATCAGAATCAGAATACTTTATTCATCCCGAGGGAAATTAGGGGTTACAGCATCTCAAACTGATTTTTTGAACAGGACAATGAGTTCATCATACTTAAAAATCATCTACACATACTAGATCTCAATCCAGAAGAGCACTGTTTTGGTAGAATGGGAGATTCTACCAAAATGTCCAGCTGACAAGCCTGCAGCACATAGCATTTGTTAAAAGGAACATTTATGGGCAAAACCTCAAACCCTATATGTTATTATAACAGCAGTAAATGACTACCTGCTTCAGAGAGTTGTGCATTAAAAATTACACATTCACCACGTACGAATAGGTGGTTTGTGCATTTCCTATAACGTTTTCTCATAATTCTTATAAAGTAGTGCATTCCCTAGATTTTAAAAGAGCAAATGACTGGTCCAACATCCTGCACCA